TTCATAAATGTAAATTAAAACAGTCAAAGTTGCCATTAAGAATCTTTTAGTCTAGTAAGAGAGTCAGTTGTGTAAACATTAATCCAATGCAATATAATAATTGTTATAATTAAAAATGTAAAGGTACAAAGGTAATGTGGCGGAGACAATGATTGATAGTGTCTGGATGTGGGTATCAGGATATGGAATTAGCAAAGGCTTCACAAAAATCAAAGTACAAATAAAGAGGGAGGATACGAAAAATTGGAAAAGTCTGAGTAATTTGATTTTGCTAGAATATAAAGAGGGCTGCTGGGTAAGATTTTATAGGTTGTTCACTGCACAAGGGATACTCAAGCAAGGGCACCAGCTGGCTGAAATCCAGACCAAGCTCCACTCACCAAACAATGGTATCTTTTGTTGTGCTGCTTCTGTTCAGAGCAAGGAGTGCCTTCCTTGAATTTCCACAAAGCTGCTTTCTGGCGCTTCCTGAGCCTTGCTGCTGTGCAACAGCTTCTTTTTATTTCACCAAACGCACAGTTTGGCCTAGTGGAGACACTGAACATGGAAAATGTATAGGAAAAGTGGGAGAAAAGGTCTGTAATTTTATCTGGTTAGAACATGATGAACCTTAAGATACTCAGCTAAGAATTTTAATTTGGGGTGTGTAATGGGACAGGCATGTAGTAGGGATGGTTTGCATATTGAAGGGATAGTGAAGGTCACTTTTCAACATCTCCTTCCTTAAGATCCAATTTTCAACATCTGCCTCCTTAAGAGCCATTATTTCATAATATTAAAATAATATTACTTAATCTTCTTTTATTCCTTGAATAAGAGATCCAGTATTTCACATTAATTTGTACTGCTGCAACTGCTTTTGAATGCTTTTCAGCATAATTTTACTTGTGTGTAACATTAATGATATTGTTCGATAATTTCCACATTCTGTTGGATCATCTTTCTTTGAATGGGCGTAAATATGGATGTCTTCCAGTCAGTTGACCAGGCAACTGTTCTCCAAATTCCTTAGCATAGATGATCTAGCCCCTCCAGTGGTGAACCCGTTTGTTGAAATATCTCAGTTGGTGTTCTGTCAATTCCTGGAGCCTTGTTTTTCACCAATGCCTTGAGTACATCTTGGACTTTTTCCTTCAGAACCATTGGTTCTTGATCATATGTGACCTCCTGAAATGGCTGCATGTCAACCAGTTCTTTTTGGTACAGTGACTCTGTGTATTCCATCCATCTTCTTTTGATGCTTCCTGTGTCGTTCAATATTTATATATTAGTGTTTACAAAATATATAATAATGCATTAGAACTTTGCCTGCTGAGTTCCTCTGTAGTTTGAAACTGAAATTGGAAGATTGTGATTAAAGGAAGAATTCTGTGTATAACTTAGTTCTGGTTAAAAATATGCTTAACCAGAATGATTAAGTAGACAGAAAAGTTCTAAGAATATGAACATGCCACATCTTCTATGTTCCAGGAAAAGAAAATAGAGGGAAAATTAGCTGTATGATTAAATACCCAAATCTAATTGTTAATTGAGGACAAAAATAAGGCATGGATAAATCCAGAACATTCATTAAAAATATAAATTGGTTAAATTTGGAACATTCATTTAAAAACACAGAAGTACAAAAATGTTCTCTTTATCCTGTGCAACCAAAATCAATAATTAGTTGGCTAATCAAAAGAAGTCGGTTGAAATGAGGAACTCTGTAAAGGATATATACATACTTTGAGAATTACATTTTAATTTAAAGTATGGAAATGTTCTTTTTGTTTTCTTTTTTCATTATTATTATTATTTTAATGCAGGGCCAAGGTCTTTTTTGAGTTGAATGATTAGAGTTTTATCATGTTTCTTGCCTACACTTACCTCTAATATATTGTCTACAATTTCTGGTTTTGTTTTTAAAAATACAGCAAGAACTTCAAGACACATGGAAATCAATTTTCTTACTTCTTATGGTTTCCTGCAATCATTGTAGTTGTTTTACCCACACCTAATTTGACAACAATTTAGTTTTGGTAACTCACTTTTATCATTGTTGTTAGGGGCCTTCAAGTTATTTCCGACTCACAGTGATCCCATGTACAACAGAACAAAACACTGCCCAGTCCTACTCTATCCTCACAATTGTTGTTATGTTTGAGCCCATTGTTGCAGCCACTGTGTCAATCCATTTCTAAGGATATAATTTCATTCATTTGAAAATATTCAACTTAGCTTTTATAGAATGAACCCTCTTTTCTCATTCATGTTACTCATTAATTTACATAATAATCATTTGTATTTACAACAGCACAAACAGGGTTAGGAACACTCAACTGACACTGGATAAGCACACAACTGAATGGTGGCAATGGAAAGGTCATAGGCCCACAGGGATTTGCTCCTGGTTATAAAGATTCAGCTCTCCTTGAACATCATCTGTATATTGTACAGAGGAAAAGGAGAGGGAGTGTTAGGTACAACTTGGTTAAAATAACCTGTGAGAGACCTAGAATCTTTCTTTTCAAAATCACCAAACAGAAGGCTTAATTTCAATGTTATTAGTTTAGAAAAACACAGATCATTCAGAAGATTGAGCACTTACTTTGTTCCAGTACTAGTGCAGGAATAAATTTGGTTGCAAAAAATAGAGAGGAAAAAAAGGCTATATAATGTCTCACCATGCCATGTCCTCCTACTGAGAACAAGCTGAGAGAAAGAATACAGTCTAATTCTTTTAAATTCTAATCCCAGGTCAGAAGCTCAGTTTCACTATAGTAGTCATGGTAGTTCTGAAAAGACAATTCTATAAACACGGTACTTTTTGTCAAATAGATTCAGTTTAAATACATGAAAATTATATGCTCAAAGCCCACTGTTTTGGATACATTGTTAAACTGATCCTTTGGTCACATCATTATCCAGTGATTCAGAAATATATGTAAAAATCACTATCTCTTAGATGCAACTTTCATAAACTGCAGTACTTATTACTAGTAGAGGAAGGGGTCAACTATATTTACATGTTGCTGCTGTGAAACTAGTTGTAATGGTAGAAAGAAAAGTATTGACAGACAAAAGAAAAGATAAATGGTAGGTAGGAAGATAAATAGTGACTCAAGCATATAGGGGTAGAAATTTGTATAAAGGACACGTTTTCTATATAACTTCAAATGCAGGTGTAGAAAATGAAAAGGCAAAGGAGACGTGCTTTCTTCCCGATGGAATTCATTCTATGCAAATCAAACCTTACGAGAAAATGTAAAGGGTAAAAAAGGAGGCATTGGGACATTAAACATAAAAAAAATTAAAAATAACAATGTGGTGCAGTATATTTATAAGTGACTTAACGAGGGTTACAAAATACTGTTTTTTGACAGCCAGTATTTGAGGTCAACTTTCAACAATAACAACAAAAAATAATATATGTTCATGACTGGTTTAGTTTCAGTGTTTCCATTATGTTTGCTTATATGCATGTTCCCAAAGGATGTTTCTTTTCTTCCTTAACCTTTATTCTTTGTTAAAATAAATTCTATTCCTGTAAGAAGCATACAGGTTAAGGTGACTGATACTGGTTTGATTATTCCATTTGTGAATCTACATTATTCTTTCTAATTTGTCAGCCCCCAATGAAAGTAATTTTTGTGGCAGAATTATTAAAGCCTATACACAATACACACACTTAAGTATTCTGACATCATACTATGACAAAAGTGTCTTTTTTGAACCCTGTAAGCTCACAGAACATAGGTGTCTTTTCAGTTTTAGCTTTACAATGTTTTTCAGCTCAATAGTGAAGCTTATATTTTTAGGAGGATTATAATGAAGCTTTCTAACAGTTAGTGTGGCTCTACTTAGATGTATGTCGTATGTGAATATATTTTGGAATAAGATGTTTATAAAGTTCTTCAAAACTATCATGGAATCCTTGCATTGATGACCTACTTGTATTTTTTTGTATTTTCTACTGGTTTGATTGAGGCACAAAAGAATCCCTAGTTGTGGAGGGAACTAGGTATCTCAGGGGACGGGTAATGAGATACAGAGCCTTTAACCTCTTGGTCACTAGTTCAAATCTGCCCCAGGTCAAGAGTGACAGAAAGTCATTACCATCTGATGGCGGTTCAATAGGCTATGTGACACAGATTTGTGTTTTCAGCACCTAATGAAGACGGTTTTGTGTCATAGAGCCTACACAGAGGAAGTGTAAACTGGTAGTTTTGATCTGAGTTTGAAGATAAAGGACAAATCCAGTTGTTACTAAAGTAGTCCGTCTGCTTCACTTGAGCTGAGCCTCTTTTTCGTGGATTTGTTGATGGAATATGGCTAGTGGTAAAGCTAATGTTATGCCTTTCTTGGCTTGTGATTTGGGGCCACAAAAATGCGTATCCATAGGAATCTCTCTGTCATTGTTGGTAATAAGGTACAATTCAACATCACTAAATTGACTTCTAAAAAGTGATTGCAGACCCAGATGGTGATTAATTCATGATGGAGTGTTACATCATTCATGTCTCCTGTTTCTTTAATGTCCTTCTGCATATGTTTTTTAAATGTTTCATTTTCCTTTTTAATCATATTATTAATTTCATCTACATTTGGGCGTACGACTGAATATTTACAGCGGCCTGTTCATTCTTGCCAGTCTTTCACTGGAGAAATACTGAGTTATCAACAAGAACAGACAATCGTAAGGATACTTTGAAGATGGGGAATTTGAAATTGAGCAGAGTCCAAAAGGATCGGTGCTATAAAAGCTAATTGAAATAAGCACATTTATATCAATAAATGATATCTCTCACCTTCTGCCAATTTTAAGGTTTGAGATTACATGAGGGATTTTGGTTTTCTGATATCTTTAGTGAACAGTCAGATAATTAAAAGTTTCTGATTTGAGATCTCTTTAAAAGGATTATCTTAAAGAGGAAAAAAAAGACATTCGTTTATACCTGAGAGGTTTATAAAGTCACAATATTTTCTTAATAATTGAATATTTACTATTTTATTTTATGCAGGTCTCAGTGATTTTCTAAACCAACCCACACTCTTGGTTTGTAAGAAATTTAAAGCATTTTCTAATAATTTTTATGATGTGAAAATAAAACCTAAAAGAGGTAAAACCTGTGCCTCATATTGGAGATTTCTGCTCTGAACAAAGATGAATAGTCACTAAAATTATAACAGTCGGAGATTTTAGGAAACAAACTTACAAGATCTTATCTATATCCAAAGCGCTCTGTTACTTAAAAGGTTTTCGGTGCCAACTTTAAATAAAAAGACACTTGTTATCGTTATCATTGCTTAAAATATTATTTTAATTCCAACATCTTCAAAGGCATTTGCCCGAAAATATACCAGTGGTTTCTGCAGTATCTGAAGAACTGTGATGTGAGAATTAGAAATTTAAATTGCACAGCCTAAATTAGAGTATTTCCGTTACCCTTTGCAGGTTTTGAGGCAGCTTATTCGACCTTACAGTCTCACCAGGAAGCTAATGGGAAAGCCTTGCAGCAATCTTCACAGGAAAGTTTCCAAATGTCAAGTGTCATCTTTCCAGCTGTTAGATGAATGGGTAGCCAAGAGGCATTTATTTGGGTGTGCAGCCCCTGTGAAATCTGGGTGAGGCAGGAGAAAAGGCTATAATTTGGTGGCTAGTTTACCAACATTGGTACAGTTGCTAATCCCTAGCCAGACAAATGCTTCATTTTGTTGTTCAGTGAATGACAGCCAACATCAGTGTTCTTACACCGAGAGAACGATAACTCCTTAAAAAAAGAAAAAGCTTCATCAATAGTGTCATACTAATTTTTGAATCCTTCACTGCTTCAGATAAAAACAATCCAATCAGATGCACTAGTTTCTTCTCTAAATCCTTCTCCAGTGGGAGGAGGTAAAGCTTTTCAAGTGACAACTGTATTAAAATCTTGAGAACTATCGGAAAAGTGTCCTGCAGTTTAAGATATATTGCAAACCCTTAAATTCCTGTGTTAAGGGAAGATTGATATAAATCATCAGCTACTGTCAGGTTGAAAAACAATGAATATCAATAAAAAGATAGTTTTAAATCATAACGGATTCAGTTTGAGACCGTGATAGCTTCCAAAAAATAATATTGAAATATGTCATGGCTAAATGCTGTTTCCATGCTAAGTTTTTCCACTTGGCCAGGATCATAGCATTGTGATGACTTAAGCCCAATTTCTCATTGGAAAACTGTTCTTTAAACTGAATTAGAATCAGAAATGCATGTGATCTCCTTTTTATCCCTTGCAGTGGAAAATAAGTGAAGTCAAATTTGCTTAGAGTCATCGAAAAGATGAAGTCCATTTCAACTGCTTATAAATACACATACAATAGAGCATATAGTATTCTCTGTAGAATTTGCCTTCTTGATGGTACATTCAGGTTAATTTGTGGTGTGTTCCCTAGCTAATACTTTTAAATGATTATACATCTGAGACCTGACACTTTTTCTATTAAGACTTCTTTTTGTAATAATGTGCAGCTTTTGGTGTATGAAGGGAGATTTATATTTTATAACACCTATATGTTGTAAAACGAAATCAAGGAAAAAATTAAGATAAGCCTATACCTAATGGAGCTATCAAAACAAAACTATCGAGATGGTGATAGGGGAAGAAAATATCATGACTAATAAGTCATTTTATTGCCTTTTATTGACTTTGTATAGGGTTCCAAACCTTTATTAAATGGCAGTGTTTGACCTGAAAAGTAATTTAAAATGAAATTGTCTCCATAAAGCCAGAATATCTCTTTACCAATATAGCAGTAGATTGCTACTTGAGGCAGAGATAGCTCAGATTAGAATGAGTAGAAAAATAACTCAGAAAAATCTGATCCATGCCATATGGAACCTGACCTCAGTGTGTTTTGATAGGGTATGAAAGGAATTAGTCACTGCAGTGTCACTTGGTCCAAATAGGCTATGTTTTTGCTGTGTGCTCTCAAGTCGATTCTGATTCAGCAACCCTATAGGACAAAATAGTAGAACTGCCCCATAGGGTTTCCTAGGCTGTAATCTTTACAGATCACCAGGTCTTTTCTCCTGCAGAGCTACTGGTGGGTTCGAGCCAACAACCTTTTGGTTAGTAGCTTAGTGCTTAACCACTGCACTACCAGGACTCCTTAAATAGGCTATAAAACCAAATCAAAAACCCGTTGCCATCAAGTAGATTTCGACTCATAGGGACCCTATAGGACAAAGTAAAACTGCCCCACAGGGTTTCCAAGGAGCTGCTGGTGGATTCAAACTGCTGACTTTTTGGTTAGCAGCCACAACCCTTAACTGCTGCGCTACCAGGGCTTCAAAAGAGGTTATACGTGTTATGAAGTACATGGCAGATCTCAAATGCCCTGAGGTGGCTAATAACACTATCACAGTACAACAAAAAATTGAAAACCTTTAGTTTGGTGGTAGAAATCAAATGCAAACTAACCCAATTGCAAATTTTGACCGGAATTGTGTTCCTCTGCATTCAGTGATTTAGTAAAATTGAGTCTTACACAAGTTGTAAAGGATCAGATTGGAAAATATCTAGATACATGTGATATAATGAAAGCCTGAAAGTCAAGAGGCCTGGGTTCAAGTTCTGGCTTAATTAAGCATTGATTCTTCCTTGGGGCTTTTGGGAATGTCATATTGCCTTTTTAAAAAACCCATTGCTGTCAAGCTGATTCCAACTCATGGTGACCCTGTAGGACACAGTAGAACTGCCCCATAGAGTTTCCAAGGAGCACCTGGTGGATTCAAACTTCTGACCTTTTGGTTAACAGCCGTAGCTCTTAACCACTACGCCGCCAGGGTTTCCATTGCCTTTTTAGGCTCTCTCAATTATGGCTCTAAAACAACACAATGTAGTCAGAGAGGTGGAATTCCCAGCTCAAGCACTTAGCAATATTTTTTTTAAATTTCAGATATGTTAGAGTCTCACTGTTTTTATCCATAGAAGGGACAGAACTATAGCTTTGTATGATTCTAAAGCCCCCAAAATACGTAAAATAAAGAATTTGATTTACTGAATACCTATTATGTGTTCATTGTCTTTTTAGGGACTTGCACATTCACATTATACTCAAAATTACCTCTGGATTAAGCATTTCCTCATTTTTTAAATTAGAAAACCTATGCTGAAATTGGTTGAGATGAATATGGCCCTCGTGATCATTTGATTCAACTACTTAACATATTGGTTAGGAAGCTGAGAAGGGACATTAAATGAATAAACTCAATTATTAGGATAATTCACTCCAGAGAATAGAACAATAATAGAACTGTCTGAAAGGGTTTTAAAATACATATGTTAAAGATCTTGTAGTGGCTTGTGTGTTGGTATGATGCTGGAAGTTATGCCACCAGTCTATCAAATACCATCTGGGTCACCCATGATGGAGAAGTTTGAGCAGAGTTTCCAGACTGAGACAGACTAGGAATAAAGTCCTGGTGATCTATTTCTGAAAATTAGCCAGTGAAAATCCTAATTGGATCATAAGAAAACATTGTCTGATATAGTGCTGGACAATGAGTCTCCTAGCTGGACGGCACTACACAATAGCCACAACAGTGGACTCAAACATACCAACGATCATGAAGATGGTGCAAGACCAGGCAATGTTTCATTCTGCTATACATGAGGACACTATGAGTCAGAGCCAACTCAAGGGCAACTACCAACAACTAAAGAACCTCAAAGAGATAAAGACAAGTATAACATACATGAAAGTGATCAGGAGAAGTGTAATGCCGTTCTTAAGGTCTTGAAACTAGGCAATACCAGTGCATAGACTAGCACCCAGTTATCCAGTTGCCAGCCCTAGTGCTCTTTTCAATAACCATCTTCTTTTTTCTTGTTATATTCTCTTTGGTTGAGCTCTGGCAGAGCAGGTAGAAGGGAGAACCCTTAGGTAAGTCCCTGCCAGTCATTAGGACTGTAGCAATGAGAGCGGTGATAGTCTACTTATGTAATTCATGCAACCAGTTCTCTATCACCTTACTTTATTTTAAGATTACATCGTATGTATTTATTGTGTGCTTTTTATATGCCAGGCAGTGTCCCATGGAAGTATAGCCTCCAATTTGATTTTTTTCAGTTGTTTTCCCTATGGTATCTCTGGTACCTAGAAGAGTACATACTTCATAGTCAGTGGTTGGTGAATAAAATGCCTGCGATAGAGTGGATACTTGGTAAATATTGTTGAAAAAGTGAATATGCTGAGGAAATGTTTTAGCTTATGGGCACATGAGCTTTAAAAAGCAAATTTTACCAGTTCACTTGGCTCATAGGTAATGGATACTGCTTTAGGCTGCTAAAAGAGCTGGGATTTGATGATGGGATAGCATTTCCTTGAAAACAGAAGGATGCCAGTGCATGCTGGTGCTTTGTACTCTCTCCTAATTGTTCCTTACAATCATCCTTCACAATCAATATCATTATTCTTATTTCAAAGATGAGAAAAATGAATTTTAAAGAGGCTTAACTGACCTGTTCAGAGTAACAAAGCTGCTAAGTGACCTCTAAGCTACTACCCTGATTTTATCCTTGTATCCTGTCCTCACTCCAGCCTATTTCAGAAACTTCTCCTCCCAAAAGCACGAGGGTTAATAGGTTACCAGAAAAACAGGTATTGGCTGGTAGGTTGTTGACTTACAATTTTGAGCTTTTTATTCCAAGTCTTAATATTTAACATCACTGCTGTCACCTTTCTTAAATGTCAGCTTCTTTTATTTACCTTCATCACTCTCACCTTGAGCATACCGACTCCTTCGTGCTACATGGATTTGCTGTCAGGCACCACCCTGTGCTGGCCACCAGGCTTTTCTTACTCTAGTCATTGACATCTTGTCAGCGGTGTCACCACCTTTGTCCCTGGGCCTGGGAATATGGCAGTTGTTACCTTCTTGATTGACAATTTTGAAAATTTGTCAGCATGTTATTTATTATATTTTTGGGATCCCTGGCTAACTTACAAGCTATTTTTTTTTTTAAAGTTAATTCACTATTTTATCCTTTGAGCAAACCCTTTGGATTGTATGAAATAGAAACTCTAAGTAATAGTGTATGTGTTATTTCCTTAACTGTGGATATTACAATTAGTAGAATATAAAAGAAACCAATGCTGTTGCTGTAGTTCAGTTGATAAGCAAATTGGACCATTAATTTCAAAGACATAAAGGTTATACCAAGAAGTTGTTGATATTTGCTTGACTGCCTTGTTCACCTCCTTCTGGTATCTGCTCAGATCAAAGAATCCTTCCATGGCCATCCCATACAAATTGTCCCTGCAGTCAGCCACCCTCCTTCCTAACCTACATACTCTGCACCCTATTTCTAAGGAGAAGTTACTGAAACTCACACACACACAGACATGCACACACACACTCATCTACATTGTTATCTGTCTCCTTCCCTCCCCACCATCACTCTGTAACATAAGATCCATGAGACTAGAAAATGCGCTTTAGTTATTACTCTGTTCCTAGGACCTGTATACAATGCCTGCCATATAGAATGCACCAATAAATATTGTTGAAAAATTGAATG